TAGTAGTACGGCCAGGAGCCCCTAGTAGCGTCCTTGCTCCTAGTAGCAATGCCAGGAGCCCCTAGTAGCTTCTTGTTACTAGTAGTACGGCCAGGAGCCTGTAGTAGCGTCCTTGCTCCAGGAGCCCCTAATAGGTTCTTGTTACTAGTAGCCTGTAGTAGCGTCCGTTGCTCCAGGAGCCCCTAATAGGTTCTTGTTACTAGTAGTACGGCCAGGAGCCCCTAGTAGCGATTCCAGGAGCCCCTAGTGGCTTCTTGTTACTAGTAGTACGGCCAGGAGCCCCTAGTAGCGTCTTTGCTCCTTGTAGCGATGCCAGGAGCCCCTAGTAGCTTCTTGTTACTAGTAGCACGGCCAGGAGCCCTAGTAGTGTCCTTGCTTCTAGTAGCGATGCCAGGAGCCCCTAGTAGCTTCTTGTTACTAGTGCAAAAGAAAAAGAATAAAAGGACTTGGATTGAACCATGGCTTTGTTTGAGCGTGTTCTTGTCCGCGCTTTGTGAGATGTAGAACAGTTCCGAGCATTGTGAAGCATGCTGTGTTTCTAGGTGAAACATGCTGTCGTTCTGAACATTCTTTACATCCCTGAAGCAAATTGCTTCCTTTTACAGCATCTATTGTTGAATCTATCGCAATCTGCTGAATTTAGAGCTGGAGACCTTGGACATTTTCTGAGAAGGGTCAGTGTTGAGAGGAGCAAGCAAAGTGCAGTACTTGTTCCTCTATCCAGTGGAAATCGCAGTTTCTCTCCCTCTAAGTGTGACCCTTGGCGTCAAAGGGGGACTGATGGTGTGGACTCTTCAAATGCCTGAGTTCGCAACAAAGGTATTGATGCATGTTGCTGATACTGACATCGGGTTCGACCCTGCTATATAGAATGACGAAGAATGATAATGATACTCTACTAGATGTATTCGAACCACCAAAGGAAAATCTCCACGGTTGAGAGCTGTTGGTGAGTCCTCCAAGTCTTTGTGGGTAATCATGCGTACGACCTCTCTGGCCAACGTGTGCTTTGGCCGATGCAGTGCGCCTTCAGCACAAAAGGCAGCTGGGCAACTAAGACAACTAAGCCCATCACTGACTTGCACGCAGTGGAACATTCCTCGCAGTCTGCAAAGGTCATCTCTACCATCAAAGGATGAATCATCTCGACCATCAGCATGGCCCATATCCTTTCTCCACTGAACTGATTGGAAAACCCCGAACTGTTCTAACTTTGAGATGCTAGTTTCATTGGGCAAAAATAACAAAGAAGAGTGAAGCAAACGCCATCTGGAGCAACCAAGGATCGTCATGATCACGAAGCAAAACACAAAGGACCACGCCAAAGCCTTCAAACATGTGGCCATCATCGTCACCAACTTCTGAAGCTCTTTCAACGACCGGGTCTTCCGCAAGAGCTGCATGAGGCGAATGATCCGTGCCATCCGCAGGACACGCAGAATCCCCATGCCGTTGGCCACGTCTGCAGCAACTTCCAAGCGAGTGAACAAGAGCTCAACGTAACCACACAAAATGATGACGGTATCTAAGATGACCATCCAGTCTTTCATCACGGAGATCCCATAGACCAGCAGAATCAAACAAACGTCAAGCGTGTACATCACCAGGCAAACCTCCGAGGCGGTAAGTATGATCTGAGGTGTCGATTCATTGACTGCCCTAGCATCAATATCAAAGGCAGTGAAGAAGGAGTCAAACAAAACAACAATGCCCATGAAGTTGGCAGTGTAGTGGTGCAGCACTAGGTAGTTGATCGCTCTGCGGACCTTTCCACAATATTTGCGCTCGTTCTTAACAAGGCTTGCAGTGCTGTTTTTGGGCTTCCCACCAGTAAAGGTGTCAGCGGCCAGCACACTCCCGCGGCGTCTCAAAGCACTGCTGCTGGTCCCCAGACTTTGCTCACCGGTGTGCTCACTGCGAAACGTGCCCATGGACAAGCCAAGCTTCGGGGAAGATCTGGGCGAATAGGAAGCCTGCGAAGCCGACGAATCATGTGACCTTTCGCCGAAGCTCACGGTACGCTTCGGGTTGGTGCTGCCCTCTGGGCTATCAAGCCCAAGGCCTCCAGAGTCACCTCCACTGCTTTGCCACATCATGGAGTTCCGTCAGAGTGATGATGAAGAGAAGAAAGAAAAAAAACATCTGCCAGTCTGCCTTTGTCAGAGATAGCGTGGGAAGAATAGAAGGACCTTGTACGCATGTAGAGGTGCGCGTTGTGCGTGCACTTTCATAATGTTGTATCTATCTCACAACTATGAATGGCCACTTGACACTCTTCTGGAGCAAAAGCAACAGCGACATTTCACAACATGTTGTTCAAATATCCAAATCCTCTCTATCTGACTATCTGCTGCTCCCAATCTCCAATGTCAGTTAAATGCCGATGAGGTCAACCTTATCAACACGGTGATAATATATGTATATATATATAATATAAAACTTCAGTGACGCACTGTTCAACTCTCTGATTGAAGGTTTCCACAGATTCAGGCCTTTCAGATTTACTGATCACACATGATTGAAACCTGGAAAACATCCATGATGACTCTATTAGGCTCACAACACCCAGATCGGTTGCGCCCAGCGAAATGCACTGAGGGACTAAAGTTCCGCTGCTCCAGGCTCACAAAGATCTTGACGATCTCCTCAATCATGAGTTAAAAGCGGTCTCTGAAGGAAACTATCAGACAAGAGTAATAATGTACAATGCATTTCTCAAGCCTATCCTTCTCTACGTCACACTATGTCTTTGTGCAGACTCTTCTCTGGACCTGATCAGAGCCTATCATGCACAGTCCAATGGTTGCTCTCAAGTCGATCGATTTGGATATGCTAAATGGATACCTTTTCATTCTAATCTGCAACCTCACATATGAGCCTCCTCTCTCTCCCTCTCTCTCAGCGTTTCCATGTATTTTCTGTGTCAACAACTCAAAGTCTGCACTCCTCAATATCGCTGATTTGCGTGCTGGACTTGATGGTTGCGAAGGCCTGGCACAAAGCGCGCTTTGCGCACGCAGAGCGCGCTTTGCCTGGCATCACCTGGTGCCTTGTCACTCCTAAGTGTCACACCTTCGGGCGGTGCAATCATCAAGTCTTCGGTCTGGAAACAGTGTCACCCCCCTCGCACCTGCTCGAAGACTTCGATATTCTTCATATGTTGCTTGATGTGCCTCGCCGCACCGCAATGAAATCCAAATCGTAAAACTTGCGTTAGAACTCAGTCAACAAATCTTTGAGGGATTCTGTGTCCGTATTGGGTGCGTATTGGGCCTTTGGGTAACTCTCGGCATCTAAGCTTGCCGTCTTCCTCCTCAGCTTGGAGGTGGGGCATGCCCTAACAACTCCACGTTACATCATCAGACCACCTTCGTGATCTTGACTCACTCACTCCAGGTTCTCTTGTGTCTTCGGAGCTGTGTTATGGAATGGAACGAAAAAAGGATTATCCGGCAAGAGACCCCAAACAGTGTGTGTGTGAGGTCTGTAAGCAGAGAGGTGGTGGTGGTGATGAAGTGAAGGTGAGTGTGAGTGAGTGTGGGTGAGAGGGAGTGTGAGTGTGAATGAAAGTGGGAGAGTGAGAGAGTGAGCATCTGAGAGCACAACGTACTGCGCCTGCCACGAAATCTGCACATCGAGGGTCACAGAGTGCTGTGCCTGCCGTGAAATCTGCACTTCAAGGTTCAGCAAGCGCTGCACCTGCAACGAAATCTGCACTTCGAGGTTCACCAAGTGCTGCGCCTGCCACGAAATCTGCACTCTGAGGCTCACCAAGTGCTGCGCCTGCCACGAAATCTGTACTTCGAGGCTCACCAAGTGCTGCGCCTGCCACGAAATATGCACTTCCAGGTCCACCAAATGCTGCGCCTGCCACGAAATCTGCACTTCGAGGTTCACCAAGTGCTGCGCCTGCCACGAAATCTGCACTTCGAGGTTCACAAAGCGCTGTACCTGTCACGAAATCTCCACGTCCAGATTCACCAAATGCTGCGCCTGCCACGAAATCTGCACTTCGAGGTTCACCAAGTGCTGCACCTGCTACGAAATCTGCACTTCGAGGTTCACCAAGTGCTGCACCTACCACGAAATCTGCACTTCGAGGTGCACAAAGCGCTGTACCTGTCACGAAATCTCCACGTCCAGATTCACCAAGTGCTGCACCTGCCACGAAATCTACACTTCAAGGTGCACAAAGCGCTGCACCTGTCACGAAATCTCCACGTCCAGATTCACCAAGTGCTGCGCCTGCCACGAAATCTGCACTTCGAGGTTCACCAAGTGCTGCACCTGCCACGAAATCTGCACTTCGAGGTTCACCAAGTGCTGCACCTGCCACGAAATCTGCACTTCGAGGCGCACAAAGTGCTGCGCCTGCCACGAAATCTGCACATCGAGGGTCACAGAGTGCTGTGCCTGCCACGAAATCCGCAAACGAGCCACATGTCCGAAAGTCACGATTCACTGCACCTGTCACGAAATCTGAGCTCCTTGACGATCACCACCATGTCCAAAGTGCTGCACCTGCCACGAAAACATTTCGGAGCAAAACACCTCCGATCCCTTGCACCTGTCACGAAAAGTCGACTTTGGAGCACCAAAGCACGAGGTTTCCCTTGCGCCTGCCACGAAAAGTGACCACCATGTGCGAAAATGTGCACGGCACCACAACGAGAGCGCAGTCGCTAGAAGCACCCGCCGCCGGCCCGCAGATTCTGCGAGCCTGCGCAGTCGAAGTGCACATGGACGATGTCGAGAGGCATGAATGTACTGTAAATAGCAGCGAATCAGCTGCACACGCCCGCGCGGAACAGCGATCTAAGCACACCTTCCTTTCACCTACCGTAAGAACCCCTCAGTGTCCCCACACTGTTTGGGGAAAAAAACAATGCAAAACATTCGGAACCCAGGATTGTGTCCGGTCACACAAGGACAATCATCTGGATGCATATATGTGCGACAAATGTGCCTGGCCAAAAGGTCAGCCCTTTGCCGAGAGCACTCCTTAAGGCAGCCCTTATCATCCAAGCGTCCAAGCAAAAACACCAGCAATCTCATCGGGGAAAGTTTGGACGGCAGCCCATGAGGTCTGGGGTGAACAAAATGGAGCAAACTCAAGCTCCTCTCCCGCGAGAAGCACCTTGGTTTGAACCAGAACGGGCCAAGAATCTCTTTCTCAAATCATATCATGTCTTTGGCTCGAAAGTCTCGGGCGGGCCAATATGGCCCACACATCTGACGTTAGTAGACGCGTGTTTTCAGGCCAGTGTTTTGGCCCTGCGCCTGCGTTGGATCGTGTTGAGAAAGCACACTTTCAAGATTCGCCGGTGCATGGCGCTCTCGGAGAAGGCCTCCTCCTGTGTAACGGCGGGAAGGTTCAGCACTTATCTATAGATGTCTATAGTAGAGTTGACGAACAAAAATTGTGTTCACCAAGAAAAATCAAGAGATAAGATACTTCTGAGAGCTAAATGGCCCGTGATAGAACTCTGTATCTGTTTGAGCTGCTCAGCTCGATCCAAAGCAGTATGCCTCTTGATAGGCTCCTCACAACTAAGGCTTATTGTATCTGATATCTTATTATATCGCTTTGCTGCCCTTGAATAGCCACCACCAGAAGAGCATCCTTTCAGACTGCAAATCCATAGTCATGGAGTCCACAGCGACATTCAAATCGGTGTACTCAATGCTCCTAGTAGCGTCCTTGCTCCTAGTAGCGATGCCAGGAGCCCCTAGTAGAGTACAATGAGTTGTTGCTTCGTATGATTGGAGGATATCGGAGAAATCTTTGTCGTTGCTCCAATTCCCAGACGAGTGGCCAGATGGGCCACAGGGTCGTAGGCTGTTTGATCCAGTCAAGGAACTGTGCAAACAACCGGCACCACACCTCGTCGGCCACCATGAAGTTCTTCCGCCGGGAGCCCGGGCTCCTAGCACAATATTTGTTGCTCTTCTTCACTTTGATGACTTTGCTTGGCTCATTTCGGGGAGTAACCAAATTAGGCTGAGGAGGAACATGTGATGAAACGCAGGGAGTGAGGAATGCAGTTTCGCAACGAATTCCAAAGTACACAACACATGATTGCACACATGTGTCAAACGCTGTGAGGCCTGACCCTCGTGCTGACATGCCAAGCCGCCAAGTCTCTGACTCCGACTCTGAAGTCTCAAATGAAAACTAGTTTCCGCATATTGACCATCAGCTACTTTGACAGCGTACTTGCACCTTGCCAGAAAAACAAAACATGTCTCAATGCTGCTACAAACGGCTGACCCCATCTCGCTTTTTGTGCACATATGGTCTCAACAAAACACGATGGATGTATGTTGATATGTAAACGCCATGTTAAGGCCGATCGTTCGTAAACTAACGAAGCCACTCGATGATGTTTGGGCGTGAGCTGCTCAGCTTTGCAACCAGAAAGCAACTGTAGGACTGCTGATAAAAGCAACTTTTGAATGAAAAAGCACGGAGCAAAACTGGCCTCTGCACCTACTCATCCTCCCGAAACTGCATGGCCACAGCTTTCCCGTCACCCCGGCCCTTTGGGCCCTGCGGTCCCGTCGTGTGCGGAGGGGCTACCTGCACGACTCCTCAGACAATGGCTGGAATGGATGAGAAGTTATGACGATTCACCTGCTGAATTCTTGGGTGTCTTGGGTGTCGTGATAGAAAGGCCAAAATGATTGTCAGGACCCCACCTAGTCTTCACTCTTGAGAGATGATGCTCTGGAGCTTTCCAAGAGAGACCGGGAACCCTTCTCTACAGCAACACTGAGGCCACAAACAGCAGCTCTTGCTCTCGTGCCTCTGCGTTGCAAATTGCAGAAGAAGCGCGCGCGCTCTCTCTCTCTCTCTGTCAAGCCCTGACTTGTTGAGAGACTGTCGAGCTTCGAGCTTCTGAAAGACCCAACTCTGGCATCAAACAGTGTCAAAAAGGAAGTACTTGGCTGGGCTGGTGGATGATAAAATGGTGAGCCTCTGCTATGCATGTGAATAAACACCTTGCCCAAACAAGGCACCAGGAGACACAAGACTGTCCCTGCCTTTTTGTTCTGCTCATTGATCTGCTTCTTAAGCTCCTGGCTCAAAGCAAAACACACTCGAAAAATTCGCCTCTTTGAATACCCAGTACCCCGCACGAGAGTCTGTCTTGTACACCGCACCTCACACAATCGCAATTTGGGGTTCTTCAAAGACAGCGTGGGGAGAAGATCAAGCAGTGCTGGTCACATTGAACGCGAGGATAACCATTTCACAGGAGGAAAGATATAAAATGTCAACTTACGTTCCATGCCATGGCACTACTCACAAAGAGCGGGGCTGGCCTCAGTCTGCTTCTGAAAGTTCTTTCGCTCACGCTCTAAAGCTTTCCCTGGCCATACCGACAAATCTTGCCCCGCTACTCAACGAACGAGGAACCTCGCAAATCTCGCATGCGACTTACAAGCAATTCCTACGATCGACCCAGGTTGGCTTCGCGGCTTCGCCAGACTTGCCGAGACCACCTAATGCTTGGCATCTTTGCTGCATCTTGTCATGTTCCGACCTGTGCGAGGGGCAACCGGGTCGACTGGACGGAACGAGGGAACCCAACGGATGTGGCTTTGGAAGCAAGCGGAGAAAAACACGGATTCTTGGGCTTCCAATGACAGTAGCTTACCGTCTTCTGCACGAACTTATATATATATATAGCTATATTGGGTGAACATTCATATCAGGATTCTCAGGCAGCTTCCTCTCCCAGAGCCAAATTTGGCATGAAGTCACTCCCAAAACCAACATGACCCCGGTTGCAAGGATCAACCATGGATAAGCAGCTGATGGATCAACTCCATCCCTCGAAAATCAGCTAGGGATGTAAAATCCCCAAGCTCGGTAATCTTGCCTGTTGCCTGTGATGTCTGTGTTGGCCTCCTCAATGGCCTAGGATAACACCGGTGAACTCTTTGGTGCCTTCCATGGACAACAGCCAGCCATGGCGGCCCTCTCAGCATTCGGCCCTTCGGCTGGCACGGATGGAATTCTCCATCTTCCTGGCAGATGGTTGAATGTGCTCTATCGTCTGTCCAGCTAGCACCGTGTTTAGGATGTGGAGGACGGTGAAGTTCAAAACGTCAAGGGCCAGGAAATTTCAGGACAGTCAGCCAATCTGAGAGCGTTTGGGTCGAACCAACAAGTCCAACCAGAACACCAATCGGTGGCACATTCCTTGAAATACAATAGAGCTGAAATGGTAATTTTTAATGTGTGCTTCCTTTTGGAGGAAAAATTTTGGGGGGGGCTTTGCTGCTAGGTTGTTCCCTAGGAGGTTTTAGGAAGGTTCCCAGCAGTGTAGTGTAGTCCCCTGGTGCCTCTGAGGAGGGTGCAGTTTTTCTGTGGAGGCGAGCCTTCAGCTGTGGATTTGCTCTGTTTTTTGCGTTTTGGTTGACTTGCCTTGGCTTGAAAAAGCTGGGAAGTTTGTGTGGATGTGCAAGTGTACAAGTGTCTCTTGGGTTCATCCTTGTTTTCGTTGTTTGCTAATTAGCTCCTTCTAAAACTTTGACATGTATGTTGTACAAATGTATCGTGGTTTCCTCCTTGCTTTTGCTTTTGCTAGGTATATAATAGCTCTTTCTGGAGCTTTGAACACAAGCCAAATGCCACAGAAGCCACAAAACCGCAAGAGCCAAAAGCCGCAGAAGCCACAGGAACCAAAAGCAAAAAAAATAGAAGCCAAAAGCCATAAGCCACGGAAGCAGCACGTGAGAGAGCAAACAACAAACAAAAAAACACACAAAGCAAAAATAGATCGCCCTCCATACATAGACATCAAAACACAAAAAGCCGACCCCCAAGCATGAGTGGCCCAATGCATTGTTTGTCTTCTTGAAAGAAAGGAACCCACAAATCCAATGACCAAACCTGAGCTCAGTCCGGTGAGAAGGAAGACTGTCGGTGCGCCTAAAGACGTGATCCAAGAGCTGCCTTTCCTTTCGCAATTGGTCAATCTGCGCTCGCAACCTGGCTCTTCCCAGCGGAGTTGCAGGTCGACGGGGACGACATGGGAATCGGGACAGCCTTGTGCTTCAAATCCACCCTATGCTGTCGCACTCTCAAACAATTGCTGTCGCACTCTCCAGAATCAGGAAAGGTAAGACTACTGGCCTCTAGAAAGCAGTAGGCGGCTCCGAATGTATGCAGAAAGCAAGGGAACACGGTCCTACAGTCATACAGTTCACAGTAGTAGCCATCAAACTACTGAGTGATGCTGTTGGGGGTTCTTATGGCCATGATTGCCTGCTGCGCACGAGTACGGTTCGTAACACTGGGCCACCGCGGCCCATCATTGTGGGCATTGAGCTTGTTGAACCCTGCAATTGCTAAGTCCAGCTGCCTGCCACATCGTGTCCACAGCTCATGTTTCTTCATCTTCTTGAGAATTACAAGAGGAGGTAGAGAAAAAAGAAGGACACAAAACAGAAAACAAACTAAAAATATCATTTGCAACATTTACCCACCAGGCCTCTCCAGTTGAAGCAAATCCTTATGGCGCGATGCTTGAGCATCCTCTTGAGAGCTTTGCATGACTTTGTACCTGGGCCGAATGAGGCATGAAATTGTGCTACACTAGATGTCCATCACATTTATGATGATGACATGACTATGTCCCTGCATCAAATTCCGAACCCAACCAGAAGTGTCACCTGTCACCATCATTCCTCCTGGCGCACTTCTGGCGCTTCTGAGTGTACTCTGACTCTGCTGCGGCCAGGTCCTGGGAAAGGACAGGTGTGACAGTCGGGTCTTCGTTCCCCCCAAAACCTCAGGGCAGGCCAAGAAATTCATGTTCCCTCCACAGTTGTTTCGCAAAGCTACAGTTGTCTCACCCACAACCACACAACAAAAAGACCAACCTCGGTTGTCAATTTTCCTAGAACCTGCTGAACTTCCTTTGAGATTGGTCAGCGCAAGTGTCACTCTGTGTGTGTGTGTCTCTATATATATATAACATATATCGTATACGCATGACATCTTTCCCAAAAAGGTCTATGGCACACAACATTGATGAATCTCTAGGTCAACAGTTCACTAGAGCTGCATCTATAGTATCAAGTGCTTCAATGCTGAAAGAATCGCTGCTCAACGTATACACATCCCTATTCCAAAATGTGCGTTGGCTGTACATATCCTCAGGTTGCAGGAGATTCACCCGAACAATCTATGTCCGGTCCAGCATCTATGTCCTGTGTTGACGCCAAAACCAAATCCAACCTTTCAGCACCGACCTTTCGTCGACGATCCAAATCTCTCTCACCTTGTCCAGCTTCGCCAGGCGCCGCTGCTCCAGCTCAAGCCTCTCAGCTGTCTGCTTAGAGAATGAACATAGCAAGCTAGCTCAAAAATCTAGACAAACACCCTCTGGCGTGACCAACCCAATCTGGCCCTTGATCTGCTAGGTTGTTGGGATGTCTCGAATCTAGACCACTCGGCGCAGGCAAATGCGATCCACTTCAGAAAATGGTTTCTCAGCAAGAATCAGAGAGCTTCTTCGCTGACCACGATCTGAGAAGCACGCTTGCGTGTGGTGAGCTCGATGTCGGCATGCAAACGGGACCTGAGATGCCAGCTGGAATGAGCAACCAACTTTGGGTGTCACCCATCCTGGTGGGTTCGGAATATAGAACACCCCATCGGTTGGGACCCTCAACCATCACCACTTCGCCTCAATTCGGTTCATCTACTTGGGGAAGAGTCCTGAGCCACCCTGCAAATGATCCTCGAAGTACACATTATAGGAGCCTCAGGAAAAGACGCTGGCGCGCTGGCACGAAGAAAAGCCACTCGTCACACAAAAATCAAACTCTGTCTGCCTGCTTTCATCATATTGGAACGAACTGCTGGTGTTCAAACATGCACTGAGTGAGAAATGCAGAAAGCAAGGAAACTGAATGTCTGTTTGCCTCAGCTAGACAGCTCGACTGTGTGCACTTCATCCAAAGTATCTAGCTGCGAAACCAAGGCCAATAAAATCTTTCAACATGGGATTTCCTCCAATCTGGTCACCCAGCCTCCGCCCACCTGGGCACCACTGGAATTGGCTGAAGCATACCTGCACCGAGACTCAACTGGAAGTCGTGGTCAACCTAATTGTTACTAGTAGCGATGGCCTTCAACCTACTTGCGATGATCAGGCAACTTTGAAGGGCGGGTTCAAAAGTCCCAGAAACATGAAATGACTTCGACTACACAAAGAAATGCGTGGCACTGTTTGTCAGGCTTGAGGGTTCACTCACACAGTCAAGCATGCGAAGCAAGACAAGCGGTTTTGGTTCCACCAGGTTCGCTCCATCAGCGGTTTTGGTTCTCTCCGTGTTTTGGTCTTTCAAGCCACGCCATCAGCGGCTTCAAGCCACGCCTCCGCTCAGAGACGTTGAAACTGAGTGCATCCAAGGAGGAGCGATCTCCCGAGCGAGTGGATGGTAGCTGAGTCGAAAAGCCCTGTGAGGGTTGCTGCAAGGACTCCTGGGGTGTTTGGTCTCTTGGAGACCGACAAAAGTGGGACGACAGGAAACAGAAATGGAATCGTTGGGCAAGTTGTAAATTGATGGATTTGTGTTTAAGTATACGTGTATCTTTGGTATAAACATAAGCCATATGTCAGCCACGCACTACACACTCCACTTCGAGCTGCTGAATAAGATCTATCAAATGTTGGGGTCATTGTTGCGAAGGGAGAGCAAAACAGCTTGCGACTGTCGCGGTTTAGAGGTCAGAGGTCCATTCCAGCAGGCTTTGGGACATCAAAGCAGTTGCTTCTGTCACCAATGCAATCGCCAAGTCCTGAGGAGAGCTAAGCTTCCCCTTCCTGGGTTGGCGGGGCAGAAGCGATCAAGAACTCATGCAGCAGGGCGAGCTTATGTGCTTGAAGTAAGTAGACGTTGCATGCTCACAGAGAAGCTGATAAGTTGGAGGAGCCCTCCTCGTCTCGTCCACATGGTCGCACGGTCCCCATCCATCCAGGCCGGGCAACCAGCAGAGAAGCTCTGGGCTCCCGGGCGTCGCCATTAGCTCTTCATGGGGCACGTTGAGGAACAAAGTGGAAGGATGGCTCGGGGGAAATGTTAGCTGTTAGAATGACTCTGATCTGGTGGTAACAAGTCAGGTCCTGTTGTGATGATCAGGTCATGCTACATGCCAAGTCATATCGCCTACAGCTTGGCAAATACTGAAAAGTTGCTTCAGAGCTGCTCACTTTCTCTTGGACTCTCCTGTGAGCCATGAAACTCTTGGCTGAGAATCAAAGACCGCCTTCCCAAGAGGTCAATGAACATCAAACAATCTGCCTACATAGATAGATGCTCATGAGAGACTCTTGGGTGGACCCCTCTTTGGCATGGAAGACCCCAGGCTGGGAACCTGGCCTCCAACCTAGAAGCGATGGCCTCCAACCTAAGAGGGCCTCCTACCAAATGATAAAGAGTCGCAGTCTTCTCAAAGACTCGAAGAGCAACACCCAGATGAAAGGCATAGTTTTCTTGTCCGTAAACAAAACAAGCAAGGTCTGTGGCATCTGCATCCTGAGGTTTTGTCAATGCCCAACTTTGGGAGGGGCCCTGTCGGAGGACATGTTGCCACTACTTTCTGCGAAGAAGCATCGTCTGCAAACGGAAACTTCTCGAACTAAGCCAACAAATCTGGATGGATACAGTAAGTTCATAAACAACCACTCAAATTGGATCACTCGACAAATTTGGATCCACTGCATACTTCTCAAAGAACCTTCTGTTCAGGCCTACCCTGATCCACAGTTCACAGGGCAAATGATTTTACTATGGCGGGCCAGGGCAAAGCCTATCTGGAGCCGCTCGCGGTCATAGACCGTGTAGTACTTCCTGACCGTTCAAACTGATGGCGGAATGAATTTTGCACATCGAGAACGTCCAGAGGTGGTGGACGCTTACAAAGGCCTGCCTGATCAAAGGCTATTTCAGAGAAACACTCAGGCTACACAGATGTTTGGGGATTGTGTGCAAAAGGCTGTAAAGGTTCTCTCACAGCATTGACCAAAGCTAGTCTGTGAGCACCAAAGGCCTTGATTGATGATAAGCTACAGTCACTACAGTCAATCAATCATGAAATCTGAAGTGGGCCCCAAATCGTGATGAATCAGGTCCTCAAGAAAGGTTCCAGCCTCAAAAAAGGATCGCCCAGCAGGATCAACGGCCCATGGGGTGCTGGAACATCCACTGCCATCAGCTGCAGCTCACAGTCCTCGTGGACCTGTGCGTAGTCAGATGCCTCAAGCTCCAGGAGGAGGTCCGACTCCTGAAACCCCAAGAAATATGGTCCGACTCCTGAAACCCAAAATTGGGAGCTCCCAAAAATAGACCTGGAGCTGAATTCAAGGGTAATCCATGAAGATGTCATTCTCCTGATAGTGACCCGAAATTCTAGGCATGGATACACTCCTGTCACTAGCTGCTGGACCCGTAAAATCCCAGTCCCTCCGGCTGAAGCAAAGTCTGAATCCTCCAACCGGAAGCCCAAGCGTGGCATCTCCCAACAGCTCTCGGCGCTTTCGCCGGGCGCCAGTTGCTCCGCCAAGCGCCGCGCCAGCCAACTCGGCGCCGCCAGCGCGGCCGAGGTGCCACTGTCTGGGGCCAAGGCACAGGCACGATAAGAGCCTGAGACAATAGGGATGGTGAAAGTGGTAGAAATACAAGTAGCAAAAGGAAGAAGAAGAAGAATTGGTAATACGTGGTAGTTTCTATATACTATTGTTTGTCTATTATCTATTGCTATTTCTATTCTATACTATACTATACTCCTACTCCTACTCCTACTCCTGCTACTACTACTACTACTGCTACTACTACTACTATTACTATTACTATTACTACTACTACTACTACTACTACTACTACTACTACTACTACTACTA